ATGGGTTGTAGGGGCAAAAAAAAGAACAAAAATTATAAAAAAGGGCCCTGTGCTTTGGCTTTTAAAGGGAAAAAATTTTTTATGTAAGGGGGGTCGTTAGGTTAAAAGGGGGAGGGGCAGTGGCGGGTGAAGGAAAATAGTCCCTTATGTATTATAAAGTGGGAAGGGGGGGGGTAGGAGGGGGGATGGTATTTGGGGAGCATCTCGAGTATGTTTCATTGGGGGTTTAAAATCCAAAGGGGAGAAAAAATCAAAGAAAAGAGGATTTTGGGAGACTTTTTTATTTGTTTTTTTTAAAGGGGGTTTTACCTCTAGTCACGAAAATTGGGGGGGGTTTTTGGAATTTGGGGTTAAAAGGGGGGGGGGGGGCCCCGGGGCCCCCCAAGGGGGGGCAGGTTGGTTTTAAGGGCCGTTAGCAATGTTTTTACAGGATGCAGGGGTGGGGGACGGGGGGGGACGAGGCTTGGAGATGGTTTACATTTTTTGTTACAAAATTTATTCAGCGAGGTTAGATAGGATTTATATAACGGGGGCCCAGTTAGGGTAGGGGGGGAAAAAACAGTGGACGAAAGGGTTTTTTCGGTCATAGGCATTTTTGGTAGAACTTTTTTGGGGAAGGGATGGAAAAAGGGATTTAAAGTTTCTTGGAAGTTAAATGCGGGGTTGGTGATGAGTGGGGTTGGTGAACGCAATTTTTTAGAGACGGTGGAGACAATTGTGGGGGGAAAGGGAGGGGAAAAAGGGAGTTTTTTTGGATTGGTGGGAAAAAAGGGCTAAACCTGGCCCCCGGGGGTTTTATAAATAAAAAGGGAAAAGGGAGGAGGCAAAAGGTGGGGGTAGGGTTTTAACAGAATTATTTGGAACAGCAGCTCAATAGTTTTACGAAAGAGATGAGGGAAGTCCTTTTGAAGAAAAAACAGGGCTAAGGGGGGAGACAAAGGGGACATACATAATAAAAGATTTGAAAATTTAAGGGGAAGGGGGCAGGTAGGGTTGCCGTGCTAGGGGGGGAGAAACCGTCGGGTAGTGTTTTAAAAATTTTTCGCTTTAGAAAAAACAAATCCCTAAAATTACTTTTTAGAGGTTAGTGACGTTTTGGAAAGGGTTTAAACTAGGGGGAAAATTTTGGGTGACAACTGAGGGGATAAGAAATTTATGCAGACTTTTGGGTTTTTTAAAAAAAAGGGGGAAAAAAGGGTAAGGGGGATATTTAAAAAAAGGAGGGGTAAGGGGTTTTGGGGGGGAAAGGTGGGGAGGACAATGGGGTTTGGGGGAGGGAAAAATTTAATTTTGGAAGAAGTGAAAGAGGGGGTTTTTAAATTTTAAAGAAAGGGGGGAAAGCACCGGGAATTGAGGGGTTTTCCCCAAATTTTTTTACAGAGGGCATTGGGAAACAAAAATGTTTTTTTTGGTTCAGGAATTAAAAGTATGCTAAAGGGAAAGGGGAAAAATTGGGAACGTCACGGAGGGGTGTGGTTCGGCTTGTAAAGAAAAAAAGCGAGGGAAGAACACTAAAGCACGAAACGGGGCCATATCTTTAATGTGTACGGAAATAAAGTTTTTTTTGGCAAAGTTTTTAGGGAACGGGAAAAGGTAAAGGGGGTAGGGCGCAAAAGGGGTCGTTTGGGAATTTCCCCCGGGTCGTAGAAGGGGGATGGACAGCCCGTATTGGGGAAATTTTTTCGGGGTTTTGTAAGGGTGGTGGAATTTTGGGCATTAAATTGGGAGAATGCTTATCCCGGTGTGAATAGAGAGTATTTTTTTTTTGACACTAAGGCTTATGGGTTTGGGGGGGAATAGAAAAAGGGGTGAAGACCTTGTATGCAGAAGCACAATTCTGGGCAAATTAATGGTGGGTTGGGTAGCGTTTTGAAAATGGGGGGGGGGGTTTTGTCCTATGCTAAAAATTCGGGTTTGCATGAAATGCAACAACCCTTTTTTAAGGGAAAAGGGTTTTGAGGAAGCAACAACGTTACAGGGGGGGAAAGGGGGTTCACAGAGGGTATTTGGGTTTAAATTAGATGACAACAAACTGATCAATAAATGCCCAAAGGTTTTGCGAAAGGGAGAGATAATGGGGTTTTTTTTGGAGGGGGCTCAGGCAGCGGCAACAGGGCAAAAATCAAAATTTAAATTTAAGAGATGGAGTTTGGGGTGGGGGTAGAATGGGGGGGGGGTTTGGATGGGATGTGACTGAAAAAGCTAAAAATTTTGGGGGATTATCAAAATTTTGGCAGATGAGCAAGGGGCCTAGGCGGGGGAAATTGGGAATTGGGGGGGAGAAAAGTTGAACAAAGGATTAGGAACCTAAAAGCGAAGGATGGCACTAATGCAAAGGGGAATAAAAATTTAAAATTCATTGGGTTTTTTATAAAATGTGGAACGGGGCATGGTGTATCCCCTTTTCGGGAAAAAGGGGATAAAGGAGATACAGGGGAAGGGTGCTTCGTTTTATAGGGGTTTTTGGGTGAAAACCCTGGCTAAGTAAGAGGGGTTATGACGAAAGTGGGAGAGGGGGGAAGGGGTTTTGATGCTAGGGCCCCAAAGGGGAAAAGGGCATGTATGTTAAACAAAAGTACTAAGGGAGGGGGGGGGTTAAAAAGGGCGAGGGGGTTTTTAGGGTGAAAGGGGGAAAGTACACGAAGGTGGGGAGGGGAAAGGGCTTAATGGAAGGGAGAATATTCTAAGGGGTTTTGTTAGTAAAAAGGCCCAGGTAAAAAAAAGCTCAAGGTGGGAAGGTTTTGGGAGAGTTAGTAGGGAAAAAAGAAGTCATCAAGGGGTGGGGGAAAAACCCTTTGTATGAATTTGGGGTACGAATTTGGGTGATTTCCAGAAAATTAGATTTTAACCCCCCGGTAAAAGGGGGGTTAGTTTATAGGTTTTTAATGGGGATTTTAGCATCAAACAGGCTTTGTGTGTGATTGGGGTTTTGGGATAGGGCGAAATGCCCAACATTGTGAGGAAACGGGAAAAAGCTTTTATGCCGTTTTTTTTGTAGGGGGTTGGGGGGGTACGGGTGTGGGGTGGCTTTAAAACTTCAAATTTAAAAAGGGGGGGCAATGTAGAAAGCCTGCGTGCCCAAAATTTTGAGGGAAAGGGGGGGGTCTGGGGGTTTTAAAGAGAGCCCTTCCGGGACATTGGCCCGATTTTTTTTAAATTTCCCGGGGCTTGAAGGAAAAAGGGAGGGGGGTTAGGGGAAGGGCCCAAATTTTGGCAGGAATTTTTCGACGGTAAAAGCGAAAATTTAAAAACAATTATGGGGAACCCGGTGGGGGACGCGTTCCCGGAGGCATATGAAATAAAAAAAGGTAAGGGGGACTCAGTAATTTGGGGTACTTAAGTAATAAGGGGCCCCTTTTCCTTTTTTTAGGTTTAATTATGACCATAATTTATTTTAATTTTTTTATTTATTTAAATTTGAGCACCCATACAGAGGGACAAAAAAAAACCCAAAAAGAGCACATGCCAAAGCCCTTATACTTTCATAGCATACGGGCCCGGCTTTAAAAATTTCCCTTTAAAATTTTAAATTGGGGGAATTTATGAAAAATCATGATAAAAAAAAAAACAATTACTAAAAAAGCACAAGTGAAAAAGTGGTAGGATTGTCATGAAGTTGTATGGGGAGGGAGACAAGTCAATTGGTATAAATTTGGGGAGTTTTCTTGGTGTGGGAAAGTTTTTTGTTTTTAACCAATTTGTTAAAGACAAGAGGTCCTTGATGAAAAGTTTTTTTTAGGTAAATGATCTTTTTAAGTGAGAACTACAAGAAGGAACACTCAAAGCATTGTTAACACACGGGTAATAATGGCTATGTAACATGAGGGGATCCTTTGTTATTTTAAAAAGTTGTTTTAGTTTTTGTGTTAAAAGGGGTTTGGGAAAAGGCTATTTTGTCCCTTTATTTATTGGGAAATTTTTTGAGGTGGTTTTTGTATTAAAGCCCTTTTTGGATAAAAATTTTAAAAAACATAAATAATGAGTATGCCCAAAAAACTGGAAATTTTATGAAATGTCTTTGTATATAAAGTTTTTATATATTGGAAAAAAGTGGAAAATTCCCTTTTGGGTTATAAAAGCCCTTTTGGTTATAAGATACTGGGGTATTTTTTTGGGTATAATAAACCCACCTGTATGTTTAGGTGTGGGCTGTTTTTATTACCCTGTAGTTGTTGTGCGGTTTTGGGCCCCTTTGGGGGGGGAATAAGCATTTACAGTTAACGTGTTTTTTTTTAAAACCCCCCCAAGGATGGGAAAGGGTTCATAATAAACAATTTTTAAAATAACTGACATGATGGTGAGGAAAAAGGGGGGGGGGGGGGGGGGGGGGGGGGGGGGGGGGCTCCAGTAAATAGGGATGGTGACTGGGGAACACTACCTTGCCAATATTTTTATTACCATCATTATTTTTAAATTTTTATTAATTTTTATTTTTAAAAGGGGTTACCGTTTCCCCGGAAACTGGCGGGGCAGTGACACTCACTGGTCAACAAGTTGGGGGCTCAGTTTCCCAACCCCTGGCACTCCCCCAACAAATGGCACTCACCAACACTGGGAAACCCCCAACACCGGCACCCTCCTCCCAACCCCCCTGGGACCCTCCCAAAACTGGGAACCCTCCCCACCCGGCCCCCCCTCCCCCAAAACTGCACCCTCCAACACGGGGACCCCCAAAAACCCGGGAAACCCCCAACCTGGCACCCCAACACTGGCCCCCCCAACCCAAAACTGGCCCCCAACCAAAACCCGGCACCCACCAACACTTTGGGACTCCCCCCCCCCCCACCCCCAAAACTGGCACTCCCCCCCCAAAACTGGCACTCTCCACCCCTGGCACTCACCCCCCACCCACCCCTCCAACAATAATCCAAAAAAACAACCAACCTTCCCCCTCAACATGCTTGGGAAAACCCAAAAATAAATTGAGTGGTCGGCCTGGGCCACACACTCAGTAAGGAGGGACAAATACCTGTGAAATCACATGGTTTTACTGCCCCAACCTTCCAGCTAACCTTCCCTCCCTCCATCACTCAAGCTTTACAAAGATCAGCTGTTTTTGCTGACAAAAAAAACTCTAACCAACTAAACCCCTTCAAAAAATTTCCCTTAAAAAGTAACTACAAAAAATTAATCATCTAGAACTAAAAACCCTAATATAACAAAATAATTACTGTAAATTTTTATTTTATTATATATTTTGGCGATAAAGAACAATAAAAAACCCATAGTAGAAATTAAATTTCACAGGGAAATTACACTTTTTTGGTACAACGCCACTCACAGTTGGGGGTAATTCGTGGACAAAGAAATCTCACTTTAAAAGTCTTTTTTATTGGGCTATTACAGAACTTTGAGATACTATATTTACACGGAATTTAAGTGAAAATGTAAAATTTAGACTACATGTTACTAAGTAACTGATTTTTAGTGAAGACAAAGCTATTAGAGGCTAAATTAATCGCGAACTATAAAGCTAACCAAAATTTACGTGAATAAATCCCCCTAGTTACAAGGGTCGTGCTAAATCAGTAAATAAGGAAGTATTTTTCTCATCATTATTTCTTTAAGATATTATATATATTATTTATATATATATATATATATATATATTATAATATAGTAATATATATATAATAATATATATATTATATATATATATATATATATATTTATAATATTATATATATATATATATATATATATATATATATATCTATATATATATATATATATATATATATATTATATATCATTATATATATATAAATATATATATATATATATATTAATATAATATATATATATATCATATATAATATACATTTATTTATTTATTTATTATTATTTATTATGTATTTGTTTATTAATTTGAACATGATACAGTGAAGTACAAAAGAATACAGTAAAATGCAGCATACCAAAGCCACTTGAATACATAACATTTTTTTTTATTAATGAAAAACGCAATACACAATTATACATGTAGACAATGTAAAGCAATGAACGTATCCATTATATATAAACAAAAGAAAACTCACATTCCCTACCGTAGCACTAAACTTTTACATAAGAAAACCCACGTTCAACTAAAAAAGTTTGATACCCCCCCAAAAAAAAAAACCAACCATCACACATAACATACATTTAACTAAACTAAAGACAGCCCACAGCTTCATATACAGTGGGTTTATTACATCCAAAATTGCAGCCATAAACACAATATTCAATATAACCCAAAGAATGTCACAGGTATTGACATTTACATAAACTGTATGTACGAAGACATTCTCAATTATCCAAAAATTCTTTAACCACTTATTATGTTGTATATTATACTTCACAAACATAATACGTAACACCTCAATAATTACGAAACAAATAAAGGTTAGAAAGAAAACATCTCCGCACTCACCACGAAAAAACTAAACACAGTATAATAAACAACATGATTCGTTCCCACCTCACTTCCATACACTACACCATCCCACAAGCGAACAAACACTACATCATCCCACAAGCGAACAAACACTACATTCATCCCACAAGCGAACAAACACTACATCATCCCACAAGCGAACAAACACTACATCATCCCACAAGCGAACAACACTACATCATCCCACAAGCGAACAAACACTACATTCATCCCACAAGCGAACAAACACTACATCATCCCACAAGCGAACAAACACTACATTCATCCCACAAGCGAACAAACACTACATCATCCCACAAGCGAACAAACACTACATTCATCCCACAAGCGAACAAACACTACATCATCCCACAAGCGAACAAACACTACATTCATCCCACAAGCGAACAAACACTACATTCATCCCACAAGCGAACAAACACTACATCATCCCACAAGCGAACAAACACTACATTCATCCCACAAGCGAACAAACACTACATCATCCCACAAGCGAACAAACACTACATTCATCCCACAAGCGAACAAACACTACATCATCCTACAAGCGAACAAACACTACATTCATCCCACAAGCGAACATACACAACATTCATCCCACAAGCGAACAAACACTACATTCATCCCACAAGCGAACAAACACTACATTCATCCCACAAGCGAACAAACACTACATCATCCCACAAGCGAACAAACACTACATTCATCCCACAAGCGAACAAACACTACATCATCCCACAAGCGAACAAACCTACATTCATCCCACAAGCGAACAAACACTACTTCATCCCACAAGCGAACAAACACTACATTCATCCCACAACGCGAACAAACACTACATTCATCCCACAAGCGAACATACACTACATTCATCCCTACAAGCGAACAAACACTACATCACCCACAAGCGAACATACACTACATTCATCCCACAAGCGAACAAACACTACATCATCCCACAAGCGAACATACACTACATTCATCCCAACAAGCGAACAAACACTACATCATCCTACAAGCGAACAAACACTACATCATCCACTAGCGAACAAACACTACATCATCCCACAAAGCGAACAAACACTACATCATCCTACAAGCGAACAAAACACTACATCATCCCACAAGCGAACAAACACTACATCATCCTACAAGCGAACAAAACACTACATCATCCCACAAGCGAACAAACCTAATCATCCCACAAGCGAACAAACACTACATCATCCCACAAGCGAACATACACTACATTCATCCCACAAGCGAACAAACACTACATCATCCTACAAGCGAACAAACACTACATCATCCCACAAGCGAACAAACACTACATTCATCCCACAAGCGAACAAACACTACGTCATCCTACAAGCAAACAAACACTACATTCATCCCACAAGCGAACATACACAACATTCATCCCACAAGCGAACAAACACATACATTCATCCCAGAAGCGAACAAACACTACATTCATCACCCACAAGCGAACAAACACTACATCATCCCACAAGCGAACAAACACTACATTCATCCCACAAGCGAACAAACACTACATTCATCCCACAAGCGAACAAACACTACATTCATCCCACAAGCGAACAAACACTACATTCATCACACAAGCGAACAAACACTACATTCATCCCACAAGCGAACAAACACTACATCATCCCACAAGCGAACATACACTACATTCATCCCACAAGCGAACAAACACTACATCATCCCACAAGCGAACATACACTACATTCATCCCACAAGCGAACAAACACTACATTCATCCTACAAGCGAACAAACACTACATTCATCCCACTAGCGAACAAACACTACATTCATCCCACAAGCGAACAAACACTACATCCTACAAGCGAACAAACACTACATCATCCCACAAGCGAACAAACACTACATCATCCTACAAGCGAACAAACACTACATCATCCCACAAGCGAACAAACACTACATCATCCCACAAGCGAACAAACACTACATCATCCCACAAGCGAACAAACACTACATCCCACAAGCGAACAAACACTACATCATCCTACAAGCGAACAAACACTACATCCCACAAGCGAACAAACACTACATCATCCCACAAGCGAACAAACACTACATCATCCCACAAGCGAACAAACACTACATCATCCCACAAGCGAACAAACACTACATCATCCTACAAGCGAACAAACACTACATCCCACAAGCGAACAAACACTACATCATCCCACAAGCGAACACTACATCATCCTACAAGCGAACAAACACTACATCATCCCACAAGCGAACAAACACTACATCATCCCACAAGCGAACAAACACTACATCATCCCACAAGCGACAAACACTACATCACCCACAAGCGAACAAACACTACATCATCCTACAAGCGAACAAACACTACATCATCCCACAAGCGAACAAACACTACATCATCCCACAAGCGAACAAACACTACATCATCCCACAAGCGAACAAACACTACATCATCCCACAAGCGAACAAACACATCATCCCACAAGCGAACAAACACTACATCATCCTACAAGCGAACAAACACTACATCACTCCACAAGCGAACAAACACTACACTCCCACAAGCGAACAAACACTACATCATCCTATAAGCAGAACAAACACTACATCATCCCACAAGCGAACAAACACTGCATCATCCCACAAGCGAACAAACACTACATCATCCCACAAGCGAACAAACACTACATCATCCCACAAGCGAACAAACACTACATCTTCCCACAAGCGAACAAAACATACATCATCCACAAGGGAACAAACACTACATTCATCCACAAGCGAACAAACACTACATCATCCTACAAGCGAACAAACACTACATCCTACAACGCGAACAAACACTACATCATCCTACAAGCGAAACAAACACTACATCATCCTACATGCGAACAAACACTACATCATCCCACAAGCGAACAAACACTACATCATCCCACAAGCGAACAAACACTACATCATCCCACAAGCGAACAAACACAAACATCATCCCACAAGCGAACAAACACTACATCATCCTACAAGCGAAACAAACACTACATCATCCCACAAGCGAACAAACACTACATCATCCCACAGCGAACAAAACACTACATCATCCCACAAGCGAACAAACACTACTCATCCCACAAGCGAACAAACACATCATCCCACAAGCGAACAAACACTACATCATCTCCACAAGCGAACAAACACTACATCATCCCGCAATGCGAACAAACACTACATCATCCTACAGGCAAACAAACACTACATCATCCCACAAGCGAACAAAACACTACATCATCCTACAAGCGAACAAACACTACATCATCCCACAAGCGAACAAACACTACATCATCTACAAGCGAACAAACACTACATCATCCCACAAGCGAACAAACACTACATCATCCCACAAGCGAACAAACACTACATCTCCCACAAGCGAACAAACACTACATCATCCCACAAGCGAACAAACACTACATCATCCCACAAGGCGAACCAAACACTACATCATCCTACAAGCGAACAAACACTACATCATCCTACAAGCGAACAAA